GGTTCTTTTTCACAACTGTTTGGAGAGTTTCGAAATTTCTCCTTCAACGATTGCTAACTCTTCTTTTTTTCTTTTGGCACTTTGGCGGAAACTATTGGACTTAACAATTAATGAGAGATCTTGCTTCTTTTCAGCTTGTTCAACCAGGTCGTCTGCACCTTTTTCTAAGGTCTTTACATCTTCACATAAGCGTCTTTTTCTCTCTTGTAGAGATTTTGTTTTTTCTGACATTTCATTTTTAATAGCTGTGAGAGCCTTGATTTTCTTTTCTTCCTCTAAATAGGTAGCACATCTACTGCGAGCACCTGATACACTTTGTCTTAACTCTTTGGTTATTACCATACTGGATAAGCTCTCCATTTCATCGGTAAACTCATGTACATAACGCTGTGCTATGCAGGACTGCTCCTTTAAATTTTCTACTTCTAGGTTTTTATTTACACTAAAACCTCTCTCCACTGATGCTTGTCCATGACTTAAGAGTAGAGTTATTTTGACAACTTTCCATAAATTTTTGTATTCATCCTTGTCCATAAAGTTAATATAAAACTCATCAACTCTTGACTTCTCATTAAAAGGCTCATAGTGTGCAAAGGTGACAGCTTTCTTTAAGACAACGTTTTGATAAAATGAATCAAATTCATCAAGAATAATATCAACTTTACCAGCTACGACTATTTTACAATCACACAATGTATTTAAGACAGACCTCATTTTCTTCTTGCAAACAGCTGACCGACTAACAGGAGAAGAATCTGCATCTAGGTGAATCATACTTCTCGGATCCAAACAGGACAAATTTCGAACTAAGGCATGTGATATTGGAGATTTTTCTAAAATTTTTGACAAGACATTCTTGTAAAATCTAATAGCGCCAGTTATTAGATCAAAGTTATCTTTTTCAGCCACTTTCAGCAGCGACGAAAGACTGAGCAGGCAACTCAGCAGAGTAGTTCTCGTTTCAATTTCAACACGTTTTAATACTTTCCAGCGTACGTCTGAAAAGTCGAATGCTTTCTCATTTGACCTCCAAAAAGTGGATCTGAGAAATTCAAGCACGTTTTCAAGCACTTTCCAAAAAATCAAGCACTTTCAAGGCCTTGAATTTTTTTTTTAAAATCAAGCACTTTTCAAGCACTTTTCAAGCTTGCATGAACCCTGTCATCACTACGTTCAAATACACATTAACTTTGATTCCCGAGTTGGATACATTTTTGAAACGACAATATAAAAGTTTTGATTGGCTGATAAAAATCCTAGTCTACCTACTGGGTGATCGAGGCCTCAAGCAATAGAGAATAAAAGCAAAAACCAGCATTTCTTTTTTCTTTCAGGGTGGCTCCTGTTCCAATCGGTGGATCCCGTAATAGGAGGGCCACCCTGCAGAGCACAAAAAAGGGTTGCATCAGTGAATGCCATGCTCATACTTTGGTATTAATTCTAAATACTGTCCCATAGTAATTTGGAGCAAGTAGGCCACATAGCCTCTACGTAATTATTTGGGTAGAATTCAAATCTGAAGTAAAAACATACCCTTGCCTTTGAAATTTTCGACTTAAAGCCCTCCGAAGTCCCAAAATTTTCAGAGGGTCGTGACCTCCATAATGTTGGATCGACAGGGGTCATGTCGGAAATCAATAAAAAGGTATTAACCTCTTCTCCCAGGAGACATTTGAATTTGAAAATCGGATAATTTTAACGCCTACAGTGTCTAATTGAAATTTGCCCAAAAAATGGGGGTTTAGGGGGAAAATGCATAGAATAGACGATTCTTATTTTCGGTCATAGAATTAAAATCACAAGTCAGATCATACCCTTTCTATTTGACATGTATGAGAATCTGAAGGCTTCCCCTTACCAACCCCCCCCCAAGGGGTTTTGGGGGTCAGAAAATAGTTTCCTTGAATTCTTTGGGATTGATTTGTCCCACTAAAATGTCGTCCCGAAGCTCAATTTTCGGCCGTTTCCGTAAAAAAGATAGTGGATGGGTGCTCAGAAAATGGGGGGGGGGGAATGTATATGTTCGTAATGTTGCATCAGGCACACAAAAATTTAGCTGAGTAGCTCAGAAAAAGAGAAAATAATAATTTAAAATATAATGAGTCAATTAAGTCATTTTTTTGTTGTTGCGTCGTTCGAAAGTAGTACCTGAGTGACCGAAGCTTACAGTTTTTTTCCTAATTTTTTTTTGGATGACTGCAAACGGGAGAAAAGTTTATTTGAAAGTGCCAAAAATTAGGGTGGCCAGAAAGTTCGCGTTGCTGGTGTGTTACTGTTCAGGGTTACGTAGATTTTTTATTAAAGAATGCAGACTATGTTAGTTTTACCTACTGTTAAATGGTCCTCGCATATGATGAGAGTTGAAGCTAGTGATGTAGATTTAGCTTTTGATCCTTGTAATAGGAAATTTTATGATCTTTTTAAAAGATTCTTAGACTTTTGTCCGTAGGATTGATATTTTTCAAGATATAAGCTAAAAACCGGACGCCGGCGGCGTATTTTGGCCCCCCGCCCCCCTTTTTTTCAAGATGGCGGCCTTAGCGGACAGCCGATGTTGGTAAAATTTTGATATGTTGTTCTGGTAGCCTAATGCAACATGTTTCCGCAAAAAACTTTCTACATATGGATTTTCCCAGATGACCCTTATTTAGAGCTAAATTGACTGGACTATAGGACAAATCCCGTGAAACGGCCCGTGGAGACAAGGTCATAGAAAATTACACCACAATTTGCTTGGTGATCACTTTCCCTATCAGAGAGAGTAACTTAGCTTCTTGTCTTGACTAGGTATGCCGAAAGTATCCAAACATTTGCAGAGTCGGTGTATTATGCCAAGTATTGCTAAACGTGACGCAGAGGTAGACTCCTGACCCGACACCCCCCCCCCTCTGTCTTCTGTTACGCAAAACCCTGCTTGATTAAAGTTTCATGGTCCGTGACCATCTCGCCTACCAACGTACATATCAGTATCGTGGCTCCTAATTTATTCTGTAAAATCTTTCATTTGCAGGTTTGCTATTAAAAATTTCAATATAATTTTCACCGCGAAAAAAACCAACTTTACCTACGAATTGGGAATTTTGTGGGGAAAAACAGGGTTTTTTCCGACCTGGCTTCAAAGAGCTCCATAGTTATACGCCAGTCTGATGTTGGGTTGTAAAATATACTAGGTAATGCAACTGGACAACTTATTTAACTACCTATGAAGTTTTTCAGAAGTGCCGTTTTAGAAAAAATTAGATATTAATGGTTTCAACTAAAACCAGTCTTCAATCATACTCTGTGTAAAATTCACTGGGAAAATCCAATCACTAAGCATCAAAAAGTGAGTTCGAACTTTCTTTCTGCCATAAAGGCTCCATGTAATTTTTGAAGATTAAACGTATATTTCTTGAAATAGCAAGAACTGCTCTTATGCACCTTGTCCTCCAAGCCCCTCAGATGAAAACATGTTGAACCTTGTTTTGGAGAAAAAAAAGGAGGTGTTTGCATCTTGAGAATTGTTTACCCTGGAACGTAGGTCGGTACAGCATTGCCCGCAAAATCGGGAATTCTAAGTATGAAAAACGGCGATTCTTTTGCTTAAGTCAATTAAGAATATAATTCCAGACACTTTATGTAGAATGACTTTCCTCCATAAACTAAACCATTTCCGAGAAAATTGATGATAAAAGTCAGCCCTACCGACCTATGTCATCAGAAAAATCCAAGATGCCCGAAATGTAAACACCTCCTTTCCTTCCTCTATGGAACTCAGAGAGTGCTCCGGACCAGCCGTCTGAGTCATGATTGTACATATTAGTCAAAGACATTGAATCACGTAAACCGTGCATCCTGTTACAGAGGGCGTAACAACTTTTTAAAATTCGCGTGCTGATAAGTGTTAGCATCGACGAGTTCATGTGTCCCAAATATGGACATTTGCGCATGCGCAGTGGTGGCCCTGGTGAATTTTTGTCAGATTGTGAGGCTTTTTCCTCGGTTGGTAATTAGTTCGGAAAAGTGAAACTTTGCGATTCAGTTGTGAACTTACATGCTCTCAAACTATTATCCTTAGAAATTTGGTCTGAAAATGGACCTAGAACAAGTAATTAGTGAGAAACTGAGTGTGTGAATGGATCCTCCATGGCTTCTCTGCAGTCTCCTGGAGTGCTTGGGACACACCCTCTCTCCCCCTCCCATCACAATGATCCCAGAGACTTTGTCACGCTTCAAAAACTAAACACACAAGACCGAGCCGGATGCATCATCTACATGATTCAATGTCTTTGATATTAGCAACCACCTGGCAACATCACGAGTATCAGCTGTAAAAGAACACCGCACACTCCTGATAGGGATATGTACCACATTCAATCTCCCGTTCGTTACAACATTAAACTCGTCTAGGGATACTGATCAAGAATCATCCGTGCGCCAAATTTTTTCAAGCTACCAGTTTCGCACAATCCATGTTTAAACCCTTGATAATTCCTGGAATAAATGGAGGCAACGTTGCGATACAGAGTCAAAGAGATTTCCCTCATTTCGGCCTTGGACTAGTCGGTTGGGTGTCAACAAGGAAATCAGGGAGACACCACTGCATTCAAGTGAATTGCCGAGCGGCAGTCTTATCTTGGATTCTGCATGCGTTCCCTTCTCACGATCAAAATCAGTTTCTCTCTCCCATTCTTATTCCTACCTCTAGCTGGCTTTTACCTTTATCTAGACTGTTATGGAATTTTAAAGAAATCTGGGTCTTTTGGACTCTTTAGAGCTGCATTGCCTCCTTTAATTGAAGGAATCATTGAACTTAGGTAGCTTGTTGAAAGTAATGCAATTATCATCGTCAATCAGCATCCATAGACGACTTTGATGCAGTAAAAAAATGGGAAATCAATTGCGGGGTACATCTCCATGAGGAGTGTAGGGGATCCTTTGACGGAAATAGCTTAACAGTTCTCCCGAGGTTCAATTTGAATTCAACAATTCTTTCATAAGTGTGATTTCTTCATGCTTACCCGTGCTCGCAAAAGTAAAGAATTCCCTCTGAGTTCAGGAGGGCATTATACTTCCACGGGTACCACTGAACACAGAAAAGGTTACCTTTTGGACGTGACTCAAGCCCGGCGAGCAGAGCAAGGCGGATAAAGAATGGTGGTCGCATTTCGATTTTGGCTGCCATCTTGAAGCGTTGTGACGTCAGGAGGGTACGGGTTTTGCCGTGCAATCCGAGGTTGAGTCGGCCCCCCCGGCCTCGGCCAGCCCATGTACCCGATGTACCCGATACCGTGTGACGTCCAGAGGGTACGAAATGCGAGGGAATACTGCATTACCTCCAACGGCATTACCTCCACAAGACTCCCCTGCGATATATCGAATCGATTGTGGCAATGTGACCCAAGAGGGGTTGCGGCCAAAAGCCGACAGAGAGCGCTGAAACTCATACAATGTTGCCAGTCTGTGGTTTATGATGTGTTGCTTGTTAAACGAAATGAAGGCGCGAAACCAATCAGCAAATGCCCGTTCTTCTCAACAAGCCAGTTGTACGGTGGATTAATCGCAATGAAAATTGAAGGCGATACATTGTTCAAAACAAATAGTTTTCTCGACTGACCCCTTTAGTCCACATAACTCTGCCGAAACGACCCCGAACTGTGTTGCTTTTCTTGTGTGAGTCGCTTTGTTGATCTTTAGTTTGATTTTCTCGGACCGATAATGGCCCAGCCCATATATGAAGGATATCAATGAAATGAAGCGACATTTGGACTCTCTTAATAAATGTTCAACGATACTACAGAACATGAATGATCGGATGGAAATGCCGAGATTGTGGCAGTTGGTCGATATCAGTCCGTCGACAGCAAAATATATTCCCCTGCTCTCTGCTCTCATCAGCCGGTAAAAAAA